GGTTAGGTTTAAGTTGAAATATGTGTTTGACTTTTTTTTGTCAGTAATGTATCAATTATATATATATATATATATATATATATATAATTGATACATTACTGACAAAAAAAAGTCAAACACATATTTCAACTTAAACCTAACCGGCCAAGGGTGTATATCTAAGTATTTACAGAACTGTGAGTTATGTATAAGAATACCTCAATGCTACTGCCAACAGTACGATTAATTTCCTCCCGTTCATTCCTCTACATCAATACAAGGCGAGAGTGTTCTCTAGAACAGTGCTGCACGGATAAGCGCCCAATATTCACGCTAGCACTAGCAATTCTACCATTTACGCATACTGCTTATAAATGCTCCTTATGCATTCACAGCAATCAACGATGCACACAATTTTCTGTTCGTTTGTCTCTCAGTTTAACGTATCTAATCTTCCTTACAACGTCTACAAACCCGTCAGATACGAACCATTCAACTGCCATGATGGTGTTGTTTGTGACCACTGGATATGGTGTGTAAGCAACCACTGGAACAACACAAGCAAAGAAAACACTTTGTGAGAATTTTTGCTAGTTGAAAATCGAGAAGAATTTTGGTAACAAGCGGCCATCAATAATGATGAACCGTATGATGTCAACTTGGTGTTACACCGATATTGTTCGATGAGCAACTGGAAACAATACAAAAGAAATATTACAAGTTATGATCCACATAGAGTAATTTGAAAAAAAAAAACAGCGAAGGTAATCATTTAGAATATATAAATACTTGCGAAACAATTTCACAAACACCACAAAAAACACTCATTGTTGCCGAGAATGCAATACCTTCCTCACTCTTATATCTATTGGAATTTTCGCTCACAAAAGACAATTTTCTCTTTATTCCCGAAAGCAATTTAACAACAATCTACTTCGAAACCATTGTGAAAAACAAAAAAATCGAATACAGAAATAGGAATGTTTCAGAATGAACACAAAAACTAACACAGTTATATGGAACGAAGAAAACTATGAGTTACAGCTCAGAAAAATGAGGCTTTTGGTCTTCGTTTCAAAAATAAACTGAAAGATTCCAACCCTCCCCCGCCCTCCCTCCTGAAAACGTGCATTTCTGATTCTTAAGAAAAACTTGCGTAAAAGTTCACCAAAAAAGCATTAGATTGAAACGTCGCACCACCTACACTGTACCTTAGGCAAAACAACTATTTGGTTCAGCGACCTTCCACAATAATTTTTCTGAAGCGAACTTTTACGAAGACTGTTTCCATATCAACGAACATTGCTTTAAGCGATGAGACCTTGGAAATACCGAAATCCGAAAACCGCGCAATATCGCGTCTCAAGCCAGAAACAAGTCCACCCAACCACCTTTTAAACTGTTTTTGAAGCGGCAGAACTTTGTATGGGTCACTTTCGCACTAAATGGCGTATCTTTCTAATTGTAAAAAAGCCTCATAAATCTGATACTCAAAAACAATAATTATCCTAATATGCATATGCTTTTAGACAATTTCAAGATAATTCCGAAAGTCATCCAAGTAACAAAAATACTGATGTGGAGCTAAAAGGTAAGAATTATCAACATCATGGGACATGGCTGATGATGAATTAGAAAGGGCGAGTCATGCTACTGAATGTTCAGATAAACTCAGCAAACTCACAGTTCTTTTTTTTTCAGCGGTATTTCAACAGTTCATCTTTACAAGCGTTAGCTTTCGAATATCCCCTCTCTTTATGATAATAAACTGTCAACTTTTTTCCTATTCTACGGATAGAAATTGTTTCTTTTTGCGAAATGATTTCATTCGGGAGAAATATGTTGAATGAATTCCATCGTTTATGCAGAATTTCAATGAATTTTCAAGTTCCAAGACGCCTAAACTGAACAGTCACTTTCAACTTCTCGTTTGCATATCAATACTTTTCATTTCTCTCCACTAAAATCAGCTTGATACCAACCCACCGATCTGTTAGGAGATAATGTTTGTTTGCGAATTTCTTCAATGCATGACTATGGTCTTCATAAAATTTCTTCAATGCATGACTATGGTCTCCTCTACAAAACAGCAAAAGCGATAAATCCATATCGAAAAATATATCGGATGAACGATATTCTCCACTTCCATCGTTTGCGGTTCAGATAACTGAACAAGTTCGTTAAGCGAAGCGGTAAACTAATTCAATGCAACTAAACAATTACCACCGTAAAAAGCGCAATTATTACTGTAGACCACTGTGACAAACGGTTTAACTATTAGCGATAAGAGTCGTATATATGTGAGTAGCATGAATTATGCACTGCATTTTTGTTAATAAATCCTGTGAATACAACAAGAAATATTCATATATAATTTACCATGAAAATGATATAATTTGGTGTTTCCAAACTGATTAACTCATCAAATGGAATCGCGCATAACAAGGAACTCAAACTGCCTATGACATTCCCAGAACTTACATGGTTTCATTGTGGGCAGTGGCATTTTTGTCTGTAGAGCAGTGTTTTTCACGCTAAAAAGCTTCATTAACCTCTTCGATAGTCTAGCAGGCCGTTTTTGATGAAGTGAAAGAAATTAATTTTCTGGAATGAAACAAATATTCTCCGAAGATTACTTGGGAATAGGAACCTCAACAATTAACAACGGAAAGCAACGAAAAAAATATTTGTCAGTGATGAACAAGTTGAAATTTATCAACCCCAAATTCATTTGAGCCTCAATTACCCCGAACACCCCACAACATTATTTACCACTTGGTGAAAATTACTGCTATAGACTGAATCGAAAGAGCCATGAAAAATGCTGGAAAAAAATCAATCAAAATCGAGAACGTATGGGCATGAATGCACGGCCAGGATGACTATTAAAGTAATTTTAAGAATTAATTCTCAACAGGAAGAAACCATTTCTTAAAGAAAAACTAAGAGAAAAAGATGAATTTAGAAATGGTGAACAGTAAATCAGTATCTAAACAAGATTCCCGATGCGAACCGCATCCAAGCATAACGGAGTACAACCGAAATAAGAATGAGATGAAAGCACAACGACTGTACAGTACAAATTCCGGATTCAAAGTGAATAAAGATAACATTCATAAGAGACAACGTTAAATTATAACGGACACGCATATGTTCACACTCAACGAATAGCAATTTTGAATTGAACGATAAAAATATTGGTCACATAAACAGATGAATGGATATATGAACAAAACCACAAACCTGATACCGTTCTGATGTACACTGCACAGGTTGCCCCGTCTTTCGCCTGCGGTTGCAGATGTTTTCACAATTTGGTGACAATCTTTCGTTTTTTTCGTTGCTGATGCCATCGTTTTATTGTGCATATTTCTAGCACCGCCTCCTTCACCTGATAAAAGATAGAAGCGATGAGTAAATGAACAGCCGACTGTTTAAGTAGGTATTTATCCTGATGCACAAATTGATTTTATTCTCAGTGCTTCTGCAACCAATCGCGGCATGTTTTACCTTAGCGGTTAACATTTTCAGTGTAACGTAATGTTGTAGAATGTAAGTTAATATAATATGAGCAGTCAATTTCGGATGTTGATGAATATTCTAAAACGATGATCCTTCACCAACAATTTAGTTTATCACGTTTTCGGGCTTCCTTCATCCACATTTCTACGAAGAACGACTACTCCATTTTATAGGCCTTAGTCAAGGGGTTTAGACAATGAGTTCAAGCAATAACACAACTCTAGGGTCATACGATTTTCAAGCAACGACAAGATTTTAACTGACGCAACATCAAAGGAAATATCACTGAAAGTG